TGGTTCCGCTGGCCGACTGCTTTATACGATCACATGTCTGACACACACATTTTTATAGTTAAAGAATGAAACATATCTGTTATTATCACACTCATGCACAAGCCAGTGCAGTTCTGACACATAACGTAAACATTTAGACATACAGGATATTACTGAAGCATAACAAAAGCATAAAGCATGGTCCAAAATTAACTGGTCAATGGTGGGTAAATGAAACAAGTTTTTAAATATTTATTGAAAACATTTTGGAAACAATTTTTTAATAAATTTTTTCAATCATAAAAAATTTGCACTTGTTGAGTGTTAATTTTGGACCTGTGCGCAAGCCATCACATGCAAGCACAAGGCACTATATAGTTCACAACAACAGAGAACATGCATGTGGTTTCAACTCATAAATAAGTGTTTAGGTGCAGTTCCTTTTTTGGGATGATAAATGTTTGCCATGCAACTTAGGAAAATATACAAACGTTTCAGATCAGTATAGAAATCTTTCCTGTAGTGGACAAAAATGGTTTTGTATGTTATTTAACCTCAGATAATGTAACTTGCATCTAAAGCTTAATATCTCATGCGCAGATATTTATGTGAGGACAGAAAAAAATAAATAAATAAAAGAGACCTGGAAAAACATTCTGTATGCATTTCTCATAACCAGATATGATTGTAAAAATGTAAAGGTGCACTAAGAAGTTTTTTCAATTGCAAAAAATAAATATTAATTATATTTTTATATACATTCTTTAAAAAAAATTACATTTGACAAATGCATTTAAAGTGACATTTATCATTTTATGGTACCTAAAAGCAAATAACATGACTAGCCGAACACTTCACTTTTTCACAGTAAACCATCTACCATTGTTCACTTCATCTCGGAATAAATTATGCATGTCAAAAATGTCTTTGAAGTGGAGAAGTTATGGTACTGATAAGCATATATGTTTTTGTGTGTGTGTGATTTTTGTCAACCCAAAACAGTAGGTGTCAGTATAAAATCCAAGAATATTGTACGAGTCTCTAAGGAATAGTTCACCCAAAAATGAAAATTTGCTGAAAATGTACTCACCCTCAGGCCATCCAAGAGTTTGTTACTTCATCAGAACAGATTTGGAGAAATTTAGCATTCCATCACTTGCTCACCAATGGATCCTCTGCAGTGAATGGGTGCCGTCAAAATGAGAGTCCAAACAGCTGATAAAAACATTACAATAATCCGTAAAACATTGATTGATGGACATGTGGATTACTTGTGGATTACTGTGATGCTTTTATCAGCTGTTTGGACTCTCATTCTGATGGCACCCATTTACTGCGGAGGATCCATTGGTGAGCAAGTGCTGTAATGCTAAATTTGTCCAAATCTGTTCTGATGAACAAACAAACTCATCTATATCTTAGATAGCCAGAGGGTGAATACATTTTCAGTAAATTTTCATTTTTTGTTGAACTATTTCTTTAACCAAAAATGACTTTAAAGATACAGCCTGACAAATTATCTCTTTCCATTTCCGCTGTGCTAATCACTATCGTAATATCTGTCCTTCCGGCTGAGGGTGGTGCATCTTACCTCCACTATGGCATTGAGGGAGGTGTCAGCGCCAATGCTGAGGTCAGTGCCGGACACATTATTGCTGATGGTGGCGGGCAGCATGCACATGGGCACACAGAACTCCTCATACCTGCTGCGGGCATCGACCAGCTGCAGCAAACTCTCAAAGGCCTGCAGCAGTGCACATGCATTAGGATGACTGCTCACTTACTTACTAGTGTACACTAAATAGGACGGAATATACTGTCCTTTCTGATTGTTTTGAGGGGTAAAAGTGTTTCCTGTCTGATCAAGACCAACATATAGTTGACCAACAGATGGAGCTCCAACTCGTGACGTGGGCATGGCCCTGGCTAAATGGTGATGGAGGGAAGTTATTTAGATAGCAGAAAGCCTCACAAACCGACTGACCGAAAAGTGCGACTGACTGAACACACCTGCACAACCAGACCAATTTGCAGCACAACCAGACCCCAAACAGCACATCAAAACACACAAATGCAGACAGAAACACACAAGACATCAGGCCTGGCCCAAAACAGCATGCAGTTAGTTGCACTTACATTTGATTTGATTTGTTATTAACAACTTAATGTCTATGGACAGAATGTTGCATGCATTCTAACTGAAATATTAATGCAAGAAATCGTCAATTTGACACAAATGCTGTCCATAGACATTAAAATGTTACTGAGCATCAGTGATTAAGAACTAAAGCATGCAATTATTTATTACTGCTGAAACCCACAAAATGAAAAGTTATTCCACAACAACATAAATAGGATATTTTAGCCATCAAATGGTTTTAGTTGTTCAATTGTTCAGAGTTTATATATATATATATATTGTATATATAATTTTGGAAATAGCAGAACCAAGTTCAAAAGAAAAAGTAATAATAAATTAATTTTATAATACGTTTATAATAAATAATAATTGTATACATTAAATGATAATGTTTTCACATCACATGCAATATAATCAAACATAAAATGCAATATAATAATTATTATTGTTATTATAATTTGGCTCTCAAGTGTGATTGTGCTGTAGTGACGATAAACACATTGTGTTGGACCAGGCCTGCAATATAAACACACAAAGCACAGTTATAGAGTAAAGTTTGAGACTGGGCGACAGGTTGTGCTGTGTGACCACATGCGTTCGTCTGCAGACACACTGATTCAGTCAGGCTGCAGTGATCACCAACCTCACCATCACACACACTGTTATCTCATCCTACCAAATGCACCTCTATTTCATACTACAATACAAAACTCTACCTATAGAGCTGTGAGTCAACCTACTAAACACAGCAAGTATGTTTACATGCACTTTAAAATGTACATTTTAGATGGACAATAGTAATTTGTTTAAAATGTCATGTACACAGTGGTAGCACGAAATAATAATTAACTTTTATAGTATTTATTAATCTTGGTTACCATGAATTTCTGCATTCAGTACAATTAAAAAGTGGGTTCAAGATTTTTTAAAATGTTTTTGAAAGACGTCTCACCAAGGCTGTATTTATTTAATCATAAATGCAGTAAAAACAGTAATGTGTTTACTTTAGTAGTTTTATTATGTGGTTTTCTATATATATATATATATATATATATATATATATAATATTTTTATTTAAAAATATGCTCATATTTACTATGCCAGTACGGCTTCGTTAATGTTTCTTGTCTCTGCAAATTCATTTATGAATTAAATAGATCACATATATGATAGCCTGTTTTTTCAATACAAACAACGCTCTACCTTACCCTAGCAAATAGAAATCTACCTCATCCCACTAAGCACCAATCTACCACACTTTCTATTCTTTGCAATGTATCTAAAAACCAAATGTACCTAAGGTTAATGCTTATGCTGCAACCCAGAAAGTGTTGTTTAACTGTCAAGTATTTTTAGTCTGACCTGTGTGTTTCCTGACTGGGAGGTTGGCAATCATCAGCCCTGACATTTCAGCATATCTCACTGACAGAACAGTGCTCTTGACAAACAGATACACATGCCCACCACCCCACACACACACACACTCTGACACGAGTGTGTGCCGTCTTACGTCCGTGATGGCGTTGAGGGCCGTGTCTGCCCCGATACTCAGGTCTGAGCCGGGGATATTGTTGGACACAGTGGCCGGGACCATCACCATGGGAACACAAAGCTCTGCGTGTTTGGAACGAGCTGCTTGCAGCTCCATCAGCCCCAAATATGCCTGCGGTCAGAGCAAGGACTTATGGGTCACTGGCCAGAATTATGGGTAATGTTAAGAAGGGGGAGGGGCAGAGAGCCATGCCCACTATGATAATGAAGGTAGGAAGATACTGTAAGTATTAATGTAGAATTTTTACTTGGTGTTTGTTGTATTCTGTCACTTAAAGATGTTTTACAGTACAGTTCAAAATTTGGGGTCTGTAAGATTTTTATCATTACTCCAGTCTTCAGTGTCACATGATCAATATATTATATTTTATACAAGACAAGACATTTTATACTTATTATTATTATTATCAATGCTGACAACAGTTGTGCTGCTTTATATTTTTGTGGCAATCATGGTACATTACTTTCAGAATGATTTGGTTAGTAGAAAGTTTTTTAACTTTCCACTAACCAGATAATTCTGTAAATAATGTACCATGATTTGCACAAAAAATATAAAGATCATGTTTAAAGATCATGTTTTAATGATTTCAAAATAAATGTTATTCTCACTTTTGTCAATTTAATGTACTCTCATCAAATAAAATGATCAATTTCTTCAAAGAAAATCTTTCGATATAAACGTGTTGACCGGTTTTGGGATGGATAAACATGTACATGACACATATACCCAAACATGTATCAGACATACATAAACATAAATATTTGCATGGGCTAGATTTATGAAATTGTTCCAGTTGCTAATATGTGTTATATGTTTTACTTCATAAGGCAATATATTTCTTGTATGGAAATTTAATATGTGTACATATATTTTTTTTCTTTTTTTATTTATTTATGGTTGGTCTTCTAACCTCTCTTACTGATACAGATGAGAAAAGATTACAGGAAACAAGAACTCATGTGAACTAACCACTAGGCCAGGCTCCCAGACTTAATAAGCTTCACTATAAACATTAAAACCCAAAAGACTGCCATTAGCTGAGTTACTTTCTCACCATCTGAACGCACTCCATCAGAGGAAGCCTGACAGCCTGGTTCCCACACAGAGACACCACACATGCTGGAGTACCAGGAGACGCTTCTAACAGGGCCAACACGGCTTCCACTCCCATACGACTCGCCTACGGACTACGGAGGAAGAGACTGAATACCCCATGTCAAAGTGTTTTTTCCCAATTCAATCAAATAAAGTTGTGATTTGTGATTTCAGGACCATACCAAAATCCGGTCAAAGGCAGAAGGTGTTCCTCCTCTCTGGACGTGACCCAGAATGGTGACCCGTGTGTCAAACCCCAAACAGCGTACCACCAGCTGCAGTAGAGAGTCAACACACAATCTTCACTTCAAATCAAATACAGATGTTTCTCAAACAGATCCAGCAAGTTTATGAAATTAAAAGTTTTAATGGCAGATATACAATACCGTACAAAAGTTTGGGGTCGGGACGATTTTGTAATGTTTTTTAAGTCACTTATGCTCACCAAGGCTGTATTTATTTGATTAAAAATACAGTAAAAACAGTAATATTGTGAAATATTTTTGCAATTTAAAATAACTGTATTCTGTCTTAATATATTTTAAAATGTAATTTATTCCTGTGATGAAGAGCTACATTTTCAGCATCCTTCAGAAATTCTAATATTATGCCGATTTGCTGCTCAGTAAAACATTCTTGTCATTATCAATGCTGAAAACAGTTTTTGCTGCTTAATATTGTTGTGAAAACTATTCATTTTCTTTCCAGGATTCTTTGATGAATAAATAGTTCAAAAGAATAGCATTTATTAAAACAGATTTTTTTCTGTAACAATGTAAATGTCTTTATTTTCATTTTTGATCAATTTAAAGCACCCTTGCTAAATAAAAGTATTGATTTGTGACCCTGGACCACAAACCCAGTCATAAGGGTCAATTTTTAAATAAGCTTTCCATTGATGTATGGTTTGTTAGGATAGGACAATATTTGGCCGAGATACAACTATTTGAAAATCTGGAATCTGAGGGTGCAAAAAAAAGAAAGAAATCAAAATACTGAGAAAATCGCCTTTAAAGTTGTCCAAATTAAGTTCTTAGCAATGCATATTACCAATCAAAAATTAAGTTTTGATATATTTATGGTAGGAAATTTACAAAATAACTTCATGGAACATGATCTTTACTTAATATCCTAATGATTTTTGGCATAAAAGAAAAATCGATAATTTTGACCCATACAGTGTATATTTTTGGCTATTGCTAGAAATATACCCATGCTACTTAAGACTACTTTTGTGCTCCAGGGTCACATTTATGAAAAAAACTGAGAAAAAAAAAGAAAAAAGGTGGATTTATTATTAATTTTGGACTGAACATAGAAACCCAACCCCAAATTAAAAACACACATGCATAAAAAAGCAGTATTTCTAAAGGGGTTATTAAAGGCAAGCTCAGCAAACATAACCACAGACCTAACTGCTGTAAGAGAAACTGTGCGTAACTTAAAAAAAGGTAATTACATGCTGATCACAACTGCTACAATCAGTCCAATAAATGAAAGGAAAGTACAATATGGAAACTCACACATTTACACAAAAAGACAATGTCTACCAAAACTCAAATCCAAAACACGTTTTTATTTGTTGAGTGTAAGAGAAGAAAAACAGTCATTTGTAAGCTCATTTAGCATGAATGTTCTGTATGGGCTGTAGCTGTGCATTACTCACGTCCTTTATAAGATCTGTGGTTATGGGCTTGTTGTTTTGGTCTATTGCACCTTCAGCTACTATGATGATATTAAGCCTTTTCTTATCAGCACGATTCTACAAGGGAAAAAAAGCGTGCACACACATATCCATACACACATACACACTGGTGAGAACAGGGAGAACATACTCACGTCCTTCACTGCATTAGAGCTGATGGGGTTTCCGTGTCTGTCTGTGGCTCCCTCGGCCACTATGATTATATTAAGACGAGAACCTCGCAAACGGCTCTGCAGGACAAACACTGGAGGACTGAAACAAGTTGTGTGTGTGCACTGGCATATATGCATGAGTGCGTTGTGTGATTGTGTTCATATGTATGTGCATGGCTACATGGCAGCTTGGGAAACTGATGCTAGCCAAACCACAAGCTATTTTTAATTTCGAGTAGTATTGTCAAGCTATTCTTTAAAAAAGGGTTACTAATTACTACACTACAAGCTAGCTAACTGCAATGAAGCTGTAAGCTATTAAACTTTCTAAATACCAGATTACATAATTCAGTTGAAAAGATAAGCATTTTTCTGCCTCAAAAACAATAAAGAAATCGATTAGTGACAGCATCAAACTCAAGTTATAAATTAAACAAAAAATCCAATCAAATCTTAACAACATTAATTTATTTATTATTTAATTTATGTTTGTTTTGCTACAAAAAGACGATGTAAAACAAT